ACCTCTGTCGAACGAGCCTGTTGACGTCAATTGTGCTTCGTCGCCTTACGGTGGCTCGCGAGATACTGACTCGGGAGCGACAAGCGGGATTCCGGCCTGGTAGGGGTTGTGTTGACCAAATCTTCACACTACGTCAGGAGCTAGAACACCGCCATACATACAAGCGACGCACGATTCCAGTATTCCTGGATTTTCGATGCGCATTCGACTCGGTTGATCGGTCTGTTCTTCTTGAGACGCTTACCCACCAAGGAATGCCCCAGAAGTTTGTAAACATAATACGTTCTTTGTATTCACAGACTTTTGGACGCGTGAGAGTGCACGGAGAGCTATCCAAAAGCTTCCGTGAACAAAGCGGTGTCCGTCAGGGATGCCCACTCTCTCCATTCCTTTTTAACTTTGTGATCGATGAAATGATGAGACGAACACTGTAAGGTCTCCAAAACCCCGATGTTCAAATAGCCTGCGAAGAAACCCTTGTCGATCTGGAATATGCAGACGACATCGCTCTTATGTTCGAAGAGGAGGAGAGGACGCAAGTATTCTTGGATGAACTGACCAAAGTCATCCTGTCCTTTGGTATGCACTTTGCACCCACAAAGTGTAAGGTCATGCTTGTGGACGCGCAATCACTGAGCACGCCACTTACAATCCAGGGAGAGGTACTGGAAGTTGTGGAACGTTTTACGTATCTTGAAAATTGTATTAGTTCTGATTGTAACGTGACAGTTGAGGTGAATGCACGAATCTGCAAGGCACGGGCATTTGCTAATTTGAGACACATATGGCATCAAAGTGGTACATCCCTAAATCTGAAGGGACGTGTGTAGCAAGCTACAGTACGGGCTGTTTTATTGTATGGCTCTGAGACTTGGCCTGTCCAAGCAGCGGAACTGAGACGTCTTCAGGTGTTCGACAATCGTTGTCTCAGAACCATAGCTCGTGTGGGTTGGTGTCGGCGAATCCGTAATGAGGCAGTTAGAAAGCGTGTTTTGGTTGTGTAACGGGTACTTCCATTGAAGAATGTGTCCAGCACCAGAAGCTGCGTTGGTTGGGACATGTTGCATATGCCTAGCCATCGTTTGCCTAAGAGAGTGCTGTTTTCCATGCCCAATTCAGAGTGGTGTCCAACCCTTGACTTGGCAGAGGGGTATGAAGGAGATCACGAAGAGCTTGGGTGCTGTCGGTGCTACTCGCCTTCCAGGATGGGGACCGCGTGATTCTCACTGTGCCTGGTTGGAGACACTACAAGATATAGCTGCCAACCGATGTCAGTGGCGTTCTTGTTGTCAGTTTCTGTTCAGATTGCCTGAGTGAATGTCTGGAGGTGTAGGCACCTCGGAATGATTGTGCTAAGCTAGCACTAAGTCCCTTCCCAGTCCACCTTTACTCTTTTCTTTACAATAAGGCTTTCAAATAAATCATGATTGTACGGCAGTGAAGCGTTGGTGTTGAACACTGATGTCGTGTTGTCGATGATGACATTCGGATCGTGGGTCCTCATTGATATCTGACGAACTGTCCACATTTCTACATGACAGAGGAGTTTGCACCATCCGAACAACTGCATATGATCCCTAGGGGAACGGGCGAATCGAACGCCTCAACGGGACACTCTGGAACGCAATCCAGCTCAGTTTCAAGGCTTCAGGCCTTCAAATCTGTCATTGGGAGTCAGCTCTATCAGATGCCCTCCACTCAATACGATCCCTTCTCTGCGTCTCCACGAATGTCACTCCACACGAACGAATGCTTCGGTTTGAAAGTCATTCATCCTGTAGTTTGTCTACAACAACTTGGCTAAGTATTCAAGGAGCTGTTCTACCGAAGAGAATTGACCGTTCTTCAAAGTATGAACCAGTCATTGAGAAAGCCGGACTGATAACTTACAATCCACAGTACGCCCATGTTCGTTTTCCCGCCGAAAAAGAAGGTACTGCGTCCATCCGCCATTTCGCTCCTTGTGGTGATTGCACACATGTCAACGATGTCACGCGCACCTTATCCAGGAAAGGCGATAGCGTTCACGCACCCCTACCATCTGACTTGCACACGCCTCCGCTCAATAAAGTTGAAGACAATACCGATCATACTTTGGTCTCACCCCTGTGCCCGGGCGATGCACCTGCATCTCCGAATACATATGAGCCTGGGATCTCTGATTTAGCCTGGCTCCAGGGGGCGTACACGACCCTACATTTTAAGAAACCGAGAAACCTAACCACACTTATCATTACCTCTCATTAGAGTTTTACAATCGTCCATTCAGTAACTTTGTCCGAGTTATCTCACTCTACACATAATTCAACGACCCGGGTGAATGTCATGACTATCCTTTGTGTTCACATAATCGTTTCGTATTAACTGTGCTTTCGCCTTCACTTTCAGCTTATGTACCTCCATTCTTAGACAAGTAAAGCGCTATTAAGTCTTGTTCTCGCTTTCAATCACAATCGATACACCTTCTGTAACAGGTATGCACTTTGAACCCACAAAGGGCAAGGTCATGCTCCTGGACATGCGGTCACCGAACACGCCACTTACAATTCAGGGAGAGCACTGGAAGTTGTGGAGCGTTTTACATAGCTTGGAAGTTGTATTAGTTCTAATTGTATTGTGTCAGATGAGGTTAATGCATGATTCTGCAAGGCTCGGATCGTTGTTGCTAATTCGAGACACCTATGGCGTCGAATCTCAGTGGTCGTGTGTATCATGCTACAGTGCGAGCTGTTTTATTGTATGGCTGTGAGACTCGGATTGTTCGGGCAGCGGAACTGAGACGTCTTAGGTGTTCGACAACCGTTGTCTCAGAACCATAACTCGTGTGCGTTGGTGTCGGCGAATCCGCAACGAGAATTCCCATTGAAGAATGTGTATAGCACCGGAAGTTGTGTTGGTTAGACTATGTATTGCGTATCCCGAACGATCGTTTGCAAAAGAGAGTACTGTTTTCTATGCGCAATTCAGCGTTGTTGCAGAGATGTGGCCAACCCCTGACCAGGTAGAGGGTAATGAAAGTGGCTGCGGAACGTTTGAAGCATCATTCGATAAATGGGTAGGGACTGTAGGTGAAGGTGTTGTGGACCACAGTCACTTAATGTCTTCTTATTACCACGAACACCAGTCTGGATAGCCGCCTGATCGCCTGGTGCGCTTGACCAAACCAGAAAAAGTCAACGAACGTGCGAGCCAACTGCTCTATTGACCACTGTCGTGTACAAGCGGTCAAAAAGTGATACTAAGAATAACCAATGGAATCTGTCTCAACGAAGAACGGTTATTTCATTGGCAGTTATGTAGTCTCGTTGCGTTCGGAGTTGGTTCTCCTTATTGAAAGCGAGCGAAGGAGGAACTGTAAGAGTAGATGATACTTTCCTGTGGCGCACACCGAAGGGGTTTGGTAGGTGCACCTAACCTTGAGCTTCTGACTGATCCACAGAGCAGCGGGAGGATGGAGGCTTCTGTTCTGGGACGGCTACCCGTTACCCTAACCTTTAACTCAAAAGTTAGAACCAAGAGACAGTGATTGTTAGGGTGATTTTGAGGGATGACTCCCAGAGTCAATGATCTAATAGCCTCACCTGCTTGGTCATGGGGGCACTGGCCTGGTTCGGGGGTGTAGGAAGTACGCCACAACTGTCTGACTCCTAGCGCCGCCGTGCACAGTAGATACCTTCTGAGCAGCATTAGACTCTATAGCTTTAGAGTGTTCCGACAGTAATGAATAACGCACCAGCATTCATGGCCAACCATTGGGCGATGGGAAGGTGTGGCTTTTTGGCCCGACGCTCTACTAACTCGTGCTTCCTTGATGGAGAACGGCATCGCCAGTTCCTTAAACATGGGCATGTTGATCACCTGGATGCAGCAGCCTACTGCCTTCATATTTCTACCGCGGAGGACAGTAAGATCGCTTCGTAATACGATTACCTGTAGTACATGGTCTCGCTCCCTTTTGGTCTTCCTAATGGGTCGTCACCAATTGGAACTAGGTTTCAACAGATTTGGCCTAAGATCTCGTCGCAGCATTCAAGCCAGACCAAAATGTGACGGTTTCTGACTTTCGTTAGGTAGCTCGCTTTCTAGCAATAGTTTTTGCAATACCGTGGATTTTTCACTTTTCGTTTTAAGGTGAAAATCCATCTATGTATTGTGGTTATTGGAAATGCCAACACTGACATAGTGAGCTGTGTCATAACAGAGCTGGTAGGGGATAAAATATCACACAGTAGTCATTAAAACCAAACTCTTCATGCGATCGTTAGACTGGAATGTGAAAATAAGCCTGTGGGAAAGCATATCGATTCGAGGAAACGGCATGTTCTTTAGTTGTACAATAACTTGAATGTTGATTTTAAGTTGTCTAGCAGTGATGAATCAGGCTTCTGGCTTTTTGTCGCTACCCTCCGGGGCAGATGATGGAATCACTGATTCTTCCGAATTTCTTCCCAACCGTCGCGACCTAGATAAAATGATTAAGTTTTAGGGTATATAATTTGGGAGTATACCGTCTGCCGGAGAATGGCACATGGAAACTGGGTTTCAGCCTGAGCGATGTACGTGAACTTCCGGGGCCCAGTGGAAGTAACAAGTGTTCCAAGATAACCTATACCAGTAACAGTCAACGCTAAGAACTACCTGTGTCTCCGAGCTCGCATCACTCATCCGATGAGCGGTATGTGATTCTGAGCAGGCACGTCTTCGCGCGTAAGGTACAGTGCGACGTAACTCTGGAGGTTCAGTTCCGGTGGTTAAGGACAGGTTATAAGCAGGTGAAAAAGCCGAGAATGTATGGCCTTTGATTTGATTTTGGAACTTGCGCTCGGCCAAATAGCGAATATAATTTTTGTCTGATTCAGTAATATCGACGGACTCGGACTGAGTAGTGAGAAAGAGGATGACAGAACAGCTTACTTGTTGAGTACCGCGTTTCAATTTCCGAAGGCCAGGGTCATCAACAAAGTAGGTGATAATGACCGTACCGATGAACACCAGCAAGGAAGCCGCAGACAAAACGATGTTTAAAATCAAATCAATACAAGCAGGACTTATTTCCGAGACGGTTGTAGCATTGCGAACTACTGCAGCTGAGGTCACCAAATCAACGGTGGCATTCATACTGGGAAGACACAAAAATCTAGATTGCTCTCGTGTGGAGTATGGTCAGGCGTGTCGCTCGGAAGGCTGAAATGAAAAAAAACTTACTGGAATAAACAATAGAAACTAAGCCTCCGAAATGATAGCACTCGAATGTATGGCAGACGCTGCAGTTCGATCAATCCTTAGGGTTATTAAACGTTCATTGATAAATTAAACTACCAGTCCCACGACCTTCATCATCATCATCTTCGACAGCATGACATCAGTGTTCAATACCGACGGTTCACTGCCGTACTCGCACGACCTTGATGTTTACGGGACTCGAACTGATAAACAGTGGCTCAAAGTAGGGAGCAAATATGCAATCATTAACCAAACCGCATTACCGGGTTCTGTAAAACGGTTACAACCCCACGAACGCAAGATACCCTATTAAAGCCTAAACAGGAGCAGTCAAGATGCTTGGATGGGTTCAACGCACGGAACTTTTGGTTAATAAGTTGGCGCCTTAGCCACTGGGCTTTCTTGAACTTATTGTCAATATGACACACAATATGCTCCCAGCGTAGGACTACAGCCACAAACTTAGGATACGTGTCTTGATTCTTGATTTCTCTGTCGAGAACAATGGATGGTCTTCACTTCAAGTACGATCTCGGGTCGCTCCTTATATGAGGCACCAATCTAGCAGTGTTTTGAGCCATTTCATCGGGTTATAAACGCAGCAAGGTGGCTCTAGTGCACTTCCAATCGACTTGACAGACGGTACACTTGCGCTCGGGATAAATTAGTGGTTCAGGCGCCAGCTTACGAACCGAAAGGTCTGTAATTCGAACGCAACCTCGGCATCTCGAATGTTCCTGTCTAAGCTTGGGCAACCTGGTAGTACTCTTCCATCGGAACGGCAGCTAGAAACCAGAAAGTTGCTACAGCTAAACGTACCTTTTTTTACTTTTACACCTGAGTGGCTCATCTGTCCGCTGCACCCATACCTTCAATTTCTTATAGTGTATAGGAGAAATCATAAAACCTCGGAGAACAGTCATTTTTACCGCCGAAGTTAAGTAACTAGGCCCGATGTGCAAGATTTGCATTCGAACGGAGAGTTGCACAGCTATGAACTTTTTCCAGCTGGGTAGTATGTCGACCGTGTACACACCCTTGCTGACTGGAGGAGTGCCGCGTACAGCATGTGTGAAATGTTCGCTTTGGCATCATTAGAACCTTCAAAATCTTGGTCCATGCTACCGTGCAGGCTTACATTTTCAGGTTGTGTTGAATGAATACTACAAGATCGCGAGTGGTCTGCATTGGTGGGACAGACTCCGAGTCCAATATGTATAATTCGGTCCCTGATGCTGGTCTCACTGCCTCGAATGCCAAATTACTGGCGTTGACACAGCTCGTATTCTCCGCACCGTTTGGTTTGTGTTTTCAAATCTACCTGCAACTTGGCTTTATCGACCCGGGTGCAGATGATCCCTACGGTTTTTAAGTCTCCGGCACACTTGGTCCGTGCAACAAGGTGTTGATGTAAATCATCATTGAGAGCACATCAGTGTCCAAGAACTGAATTTTCGCTGCGGAAAACCCACCACCATTATTATTATTATCAGCTGCGTGCTTGTCGTACAGTGGTTGTAGCTGCCACAGTTTCGTTCACCGATGATTCGGGGAGGTGGGGTAGGTAGCTGCAGATTGGAGGCGGGAGGCGATAAATTGACACTTAGATACAGGACTGTCAGTGGGCTGTTAAGTGGGAGGATTGGGAAGGGAGCCAGGCATTGAAGGTAATAGCTTGGATGCACCAGCGCCATTGAGGGTGCGACTTGGCCATGTCTAACAATGTCTCCAACCATTGATGTGACACGTCACGGGGTCCCCATCTAGGAAGACGGCAGTGATCAGTAGAGCTGAGCGTGCTGACAATGGCTTTCATACTTCACTGCCAAGTCATTGTTTGACCTCCCTGGCTCGTTTCCACCCTTCACGTGGTTGTGCGAAAAGAACCCTTTGAGGAAGTAAATTGGCTGGCATACGGAGCACGTAACCGCCAGCGCGACCTGTGCAGTGCGGTCGGTTCACCTATCGTAGATGAGTTTTCACCCTTCACGTGGTTGTGCGAAAAGAACTCTTTGAGGAAGTAAGTTGACTGGCATACGGAGCATGTAACCGCCAGCGCGACCTGTGCAGTGCGGTCGGTTCACCTATCGTAGATGAGTTATTTCTTCCGAATACAATTCGACGCAATTCAGCATTGCTGATCCTGTGTTCCCACCACATTCGGGCAATGCTCTTAAGACAGCGATGGTCAAACACTGAAAGTCCTCGGTGTGGAGCGGCCAGGCTTCTGACCCGTATAACGATATAGAGCGCGCCGCAGCATTGTAAACTCAACCCCTAACGGATAGACTGATGTCACGTCTGTCACAGTCGATGCAGGTCCACAAGAGCTTCTCCGGGCTTTCCAACCCGGATGGAAATATCACCTTTCGCGAGACCACCAGGAGTGATAGACCTGCCCAGATAGACAAAGCTGTCTACTACCGCAAATGGCTCATCTACAAGCACGAGGTTAGGAGCTGAATCCAGTGGATCTTGCAGCACAATTTTACACTTTGAAGGTGTAAAATGCGTACCAACCCGTGAAGCAAAATGATTTAGATTAAGTAATATTGTGTGCATTACGATGGCATCAGGTCCAAGAAGAGCAGTCGTCTGCGTAATAGATATCTGTGAGCGAGCGCCCCGGGACTTTTCGATCCCACAGGCGTAAGAGGCTGATAGCGAGTCTTCGATAATCGTGTCAGTGGCGAATTTGAAGAGGAAAAAATAAATCGTTCAGCTTTAGCAGCCTTTCGGTGCCTAGTTGTTGTGCCACACGAAGGCGGCACGAGGGCTGGGACACTGCCAGGCTGTCCAAGCCTAGACAGGGGAAGTCGAGAGGCAGAGGTCGGGTTCGAACCATGGACCTCCCGGTCAGTAAATTAAATTCGCGAACTACTTGGGCCATCTCGCCCTGCAGTTGCTCAAGAGACAGAGATTCTAGAAATGTTGGTGGCAGCTGTTATGCGTAACTTAGCCGGTCTGTATGTGATAAACAGTCGACCCTAAGGCCCTACTAACCTCAGGCTAGTTTTGCAAGAACTAGCGTATACTACTGACACCATATGCGCGTCTTCCCCGAAATACCTAGGGACAAGATAGTCGCTCGGTTGTAACACGGTCTCGCTGCATAACTGCAGAACAAATCGAAGGGATTAAGACTCAGATACTACCAGGTTACCCTAGCAACGGTCGAACACCATTATCACCTGTAAAAACCGTGCACTTGTCGCAGTGGTTATGGCTGCTATATTTTTTATTTGAGGTGAGCTAGATAGCTGTGTATCGGAGAAATTAGCTTATATAATTGATGCGAAAATACAGACGCCAGGGAGCTTTTCATTTAGGAGGTTGGGAGGAGATTCACGCACTAAAGGCGATAGCTTGGATGTGTGGGTGCCACGTCTCACGACGTAGAGATTTTAGCTGTAACACGCATTCGAGGCCTAGCAACCATGCCTCCCGAAGAAAGCGATACTGTCAGGTTTCCCAAATCTAGATAAAAGTCGAGATGCAAAGATCGGATTCGAAAGATGGACCTTCTGGTCAGTAAATTTGCGCTCTAACCATTGAGCCACCTTGCAACCAGACAGACACCGCGACCTATGAAGTGTTATCAGTTCACCTATTTCCGGCGAGTTACTTCTTTCGAAATCCATTTGATGTACCTCAGCATCACCGATCCACTGTTCCACCACGCTCAGGCAATAATCCGAAGACATCGACGTTCAAACACTGAGTCTTTTGACGTCATCAGCACGCAGCGGCCAGTTTCCGAACGGTATAATATGGAGCGCGGTGATGCATTGTAAGCTTCACCCTTGTCGGATAAGCTGATGTTATGCCTACGAAAAAGGTGATACACGTTCACAAAACCTGCTCTGACCTTCCGAATCAGGATGGAAATACCATCCTTTGCAGAGCCACCGGGACTGATACTGCTGCCCAGGCAGACAAACTTACATAGGACCTCAATCAAATAATCCTCGAGCATCAGGTTAGGTTCGAGTGCAGCAGCACTTTAAACGTTGCAGGTCTGTTGGGCGTAATTCCGCACTGAGGCCCGTTCACACCCCGCAGTGAGGCGTTGCTACAACCATGAATCGATTGGCCAAAAGACGGGGTCATTGGCTCTTCCGCCGTCATGTTGAGGATCTGGACTAAACAGCCAATCATGGTCCAGTATCTGACAGATGCCAGTTGCCAAGGTCGTCAGAATTTCAGAACCGACGCGCCGTACACATGTTTTAATCTGTTTCTGGCGTTAATACACGCTGTGCTTTCGGTGGAAGGTAAAGGTCCAGAAATAAGCTGAACTGAGCTGAATAACTGGCTAACAGGAATCCACCACGTCAATCGAATTAAATCAGCTGCGAGAATTATTGCAGCGGCCAAAAAAGCAGTTTGAAGAAACACAAATAAAGTGCATTGAACCACTGACCCAGTGCCTCCATATCCAGACACTGACAGCCGCTACCAGTGAATCTTCTGTTTTCCCAGCCGATGCAGACGCAACTTCAATCACGGAGTCCATAATCGACCCTCCTTTTGATCATACTTTTGGTTCCTGTTTTAAGCGGTACGAGTGCATGTTCATAAGTGATTTTTCCAAGTATGATGACGGACAAAAAATCAGACTATTCCTGCAAATATTCGGCACACCGGAGCATGGACTGTACATGAACTTAATTCACCCCGAGCTGCTCTGCAATTTCGGCTTTGATGAGACGGTCAGGACAGTATCCCAGATATTCGACGATCGAAAATCACAGTTCAATATTGGCTACCAGTGCCTCAAGCTAGGCAGAAAAATTATGGCGATTTCATCGTGTTTGCTGGTAATGTCAATCAACAATGCGAGCAAATTAAGCTCATCTCAGTGACAGAGAAGTTCATGTGTCTCGTTTTTCTATCTGGTTTCCAGTTGTCCGAGGATGCACACACCAGAAACAGGCCTCTTCACAGAATTGAGTAGGATGCTGAACTTACGTTTCAGAGCCTCACCGAACGTCAACATCTCACCAACCTGAAACAAGACAAGGTTATTATTCGTGAGTCACCTGCAACTTCAAGCAGTTGATTCCACACAATGAAGTCCAACATCCCAAGAAACCTGGTCACAAACCAAGCAAGCCTCCCACAAGTTACTGGCATTGCGATGAGTGGCATTTCGCCCGTTATTGTCAGCTTCAGCGTCATATGTGTTCTAGGTGACCACGAATATTTCTGTCGATCTCAGGTCCCGCACCCACAAATCGCGGTCTACCCCGGTGGCATTTAAAGTTTATTGCGTTTACTGGAGAAAGTTTGTGACGGTGCGTATCAACCATATTCCAGTTCGCTTACAGCTTGATTAAGGCTGTCAAATCACGCTTTTCTGTGAACGAACGTAGAAATGAGTTGGTAATCCGCATATGAAATCATTTTAACATCGGGCCCGTAATACTTCTGGCGGTAAGCTGAGATTGGCTGCTCCACAAGCTTCCCTGGCTTGACGGCACAAGCCACGTGCTACCTGACACGTGCTCTGAATTAATTTCGTGCGGCTGGATTGGATCGGTAAAATAAATCTTCTGGGAAAGCCGAGTAATTTTTTACAGCCTCACATGAATAGCACCCAGGGGCCCTCAAACACATTCACTGCGTAGCGTTCACCTGGGGATCTCTTACAACGGCATGCCGACGAGACCGAACATCGCCCCCTGCACCACCAAACCATATTTTTCAGACAAAAATGCTCAGAGCAGTATGCCGACTTACCCATCATTGACCAAGATCTGGAACAACGAAAGAAGGCTGGTGTCCAACCGACCAGCAACCGTGCGTGGGACATACCGTGTTGATGAGGAAGGCTAGCAGGGCAATCCGGTTGTCTGCAGACTTCTCCGGCGGTCTCAATGGAGCGTCAGCGCACTCCACCACTTCTAGGTGACCTGTTTGTGAAACGGGATTGGGAGGAATATTTCACGGAATTCGGTACAGTTGATACTTTCCTCCAGACTGAAGTTGACGAAGAATTCCGAATGCATTTGACCATCGATACCCACCGCGGTCTGCTCCCGACTGCTTCCGACTGCTCCAGGCATACATCAACGGATCATGGACACAATGTTTTAGGATGCCTCAGACGTTGCTACCTAGTTGGGAGATCTCACCAACATGGGCTTCAACCCAGACAAAATGTGACAGTGTCTTGATAACGTGCTTCATCGTATCCAAAAGTATGGCTTGAGTGCCCCGAAGAAAATGCACCTGCTTTATGCAATCAATCAATGATCTCGGTTTCATCACTCCCGCAAAAAGCCCATGCAAGTACCGGGAGCTTCAACGATATCAAACTGAAACAGATGGAATGCCGTTAGTGGGATTTGTGAAGCACACACCGGACCG